GTTCTCTCACTTTGGTGGGAAAACACCTCCGCCACGAGAAGGCAATGAGTAGTAGGACTTCCTCGGCAGAGGCTATTCGAGTGCCCTACTACTAGTACCAGTTCACTCAAATACATACACCACTAACCGGGAATAGGAACAACGTAGTCATTTTTCGACTGCATTATATTTCTATTTTAAGAAAAAGAAAACAAATCAAATTAGAACCGACAAATACACTTGATGTGTGCCTCTGTTATCGATAAGTGACCAACCAGCCCGAGGTGACGATTTTCAATCATGACTGAGAAGTTATTCCATACGGAGGATGATTCAGGAGTGTCAACACACACACACACACTTGATGATCTGCCGCTGGGGAATCTCAACACGATAAGCGGTTTATAATTCCTCATTCCGATTGGTATTCGTTACACGACTGTGTTCAAGCTGGTACGGTTCAGCGACTGTTCCGTTAGAGGTAAGCGGTGTTTTTTTTTACTGTTTTGTGGCCAAGCGATATGAGCCTCTTTATTGGTGTGTCTCTGATCCTAATTTCAGTGCAACTGCCACCTGCTGTCTTTAGTAGCCAATTCCTATGCCTACTGGCATAATGCCACGTTATTGTTATCCTGATGGTTCATCAATTCGAGTCCCGGGGCCTAGGCGATCCCTTTTCCCGTAACTAAACGACTTATCTTCGTTCCCACGCAATATATCCTCTCTACTACACACTAAGGTGTTAAATAGAAATGTGTCTAAAACATTTGAGGCTGAGCTTTAGTTGGTTGCTTCTGTTAAGTATTATGCAGTGAATCGAAGGTATCACTTAATGTAAGCCGTAAGATGAAACGAAACTGAGTGAGATTAAATACTATGAGTACCATTGACCAGGCAACACCAGAGAATCCTTTGCGAGTGAGGCAAGTTACCGCGAACCCCTATCCCAGTTGATTGGTTTATTCACCTGCTCTTGTCGCCCTTACTGATCTGAGATTTCTTCACTTGAAATTATACATTTTCTAAGGGATTGAAGCAGAATAAATGTTTTGTTTGTTGTTGAAAGATTTGATATCATTACTCTGCGTTTCCAATTTTGGGTCACCCATATGATCACACTCAGTCATGCCTTTTGTAACCGACTCAAAACTCCTTCCCTCACTCTGTGCCGGGCGACTGATCTTAGGTTGCTTTGCAATTGGCTTACGCCCGTCTCCACCCGGACGTGCTTCCTCCGCCCACCTATGAGAGTGGCTCATTGCGTCGGTTCCATCTAGGACGAACGGACACGATTCGATCTTGTAGTCAAGAGACGGTGGCCTTCACGGAAGCAATGAAAAACGCGGTAAGAAGAATTCCATCTGAACTTGTCCGATTGCGAATATAGACCGTGTGCGCACTTTGAATAGTTAGTTCTTCCCGTGCGATAGCAGTTCAGACAAGTTTTTATTAATCTGAGGTCACCTGACTACCTTTTCCATGACCATTTTTGCGTGGAGACGATCGGGACGTAACAATACAATAACATTCAACGGTCACCGAGAATCACGTGCTCAAATCGGAATGTCACGAGGACGCACACACACTGGGGCACGTGACTGTAGCGGATCTTCAGCACATGTAGAATGTTATATATTGGGTTTGTTTTCTATCCATACATCAGTGTCCTATCACACAGACAAACTGGTTACATTTTCTAGCGGCATTTTGTAAACCCTGGCATACATAATGGTTTCAGTCAAATCATTCCAGCAATTAAATGGTTTATATTGTGTCAGACACTTCCAGCCGGGGTTACGTATGCACCTGGTCAATCCGATGAGTATATCTTCCCCTTCATTTTTCGAAAGCAGAATGGCCACCCAAGGCTTTCGGATTCATCGGTCGAACGTTTCGGATCTGGCCACAGTGGAATTTTCCTATACTGATGATTTTTAACCAACCGCGAATTTCCAAGGGAAACTAATTGTATTTTCGAATCACGAAGCCCAGCTTGTTGATTTACGCGATGTTTCCCGGGGGCGTTTCACCGCGTTTGTACACGTGCACAATGCCATCCAGACGGGCGGTTGTTCAGGCGGAAAAATAGCAACAAAAAGTCTCGAGTTCGAGTTATGTGCATCTCAAATTACGGTACCGTTAATGGGCGTAGAAAGTGTTTGCTACAAATAGTGAACTGAATGGCCTGAACATCCTCGCTATTTGTATTATGCGAGGTAGTCCTAAGGGGTGACCAGGACATTGGCATTTATGAGAAATTTAGTGTTGATTGTGTCTTCCGAAACCGTAAAACAAAGGTATTGCAGAATCGGTAATCTTACGTTTTTCTGTGAGGCGAATGACGTTATAATTTTGAATTTGCTGTTCCTTTCTTTATTTTCCCGATCGCTCGATGACTTACATACGTTTCCGTTTATAAAACCAATGATGGTGGTTGGGCATACGCATTCTAACTAGCAAAAAACGCTTAAATTTGGCTTTTTGAGCGGGGGAGAAGGCGCCTGAAGGGAACAATACTGGTTCTTTCACAGACAGTATTGAGGAAACGTCCCATGGTTTCCCTGCGTGGTAGTTGCTTCAGCTGATTATTCCGTTGGCATTGCAACCCTTAAAGTACAACATGCAACTTGAGCACCTTTTGTGTAGTTCTACTTCCATTCCTCGCGCATTGTAATTGAAAAATAAGGTAAGCTTTGGGTTATCATTTATTTATAAATTTACGTATGATTCCAGTTGCAAGATTGATTTTTTATAGGAGCTTTGTGGATCTCCCCATGCATAGAACAAAATTGCTGGTTGCCCTTGAAGTCGTACTGAAGCAGATGCTATTCGAAGAGTAAAACCTGTTAGTAACAAAATGAGAACCCCCACTTCAATATACCAAATCATGCACAAATCTATCTAGCCGCCTAGAACCGTCCACATCAGTAGCAAGTAAAATCTGATTGCAAACAGACAAGCTGGTTTTATGACCCGTGCTCAACTGGTCTTCTCATACATTCACGAACTATATGCTCAGACGTATCAGCTCACATCCGATAAAATGTGTAAAGTAACAAGCGTTGGGTATCCACGTCTTCATGGTTCGAAATGAGTGTGGAAGGGAAACGCTTGTTAGTCCACCGTTCTGACATCAGATGTACTAAAAAACAAACAGTCATCAGGTGGATAAAATAGTTCAAAGTAATTGGTAGATGTTATCATTGCCCTGATAGTGGTTGACCTTCTGTGAAAAGCAGAAGACTAGAACAACTTTTGATTACCACCGAAAGGCACACCGCGAGTGAACAATGCATCGGTATCACGGGATTGGAAGGGATTGGGTAATACATAGTGGAGTGTTTAAGCGAGTTTTCAAGTAAGATTAGAGTTTAAAAATCGAAGTGACCGGGGTATACAAGCGCAATGAGTGTGTTGATACTAATCCTGTGGTAATGTGGTGTTTGAGCACATTTGGTTTGGCTTCTAAAATTGTGATCACCGGCCTGGGTGATTCAACAGGTTTGTGCATGATTTGTGCCAGTGTAGTGGAGTTCTCGTTTTTGACCAACAGTTTATGGACATTGATATTGATGCATATTGTCGCTTCACTGTGTCGGAAACACGTTTGTTACCCCTATTGTAGCTTATACAAACTAACCACTTAATCGTACTAACACACATGATCACCTAACCTGGGGTTACCGGTGTATGTATGTTCATCTAATGCACTCTGCCCAGAGTTGTTCGTTCTTACGTGAGCTCCAGCTAGACTCGGTTGTGCGCACACTATGCACGCGGTTAACTTACTGGACGCGGTCAACTGACTCTATGGCGGTCATAATATATGAATGACCGATAGCGGGCCGGGTTCGAACGACTTAACTGTATGCGCAAATAAACATTGCGTGTATGTGGTCCTCAATTGCGTCAACCAAAACTAACATTTGTGACCCGGACAATTTTTATTGTGAAATGGCCGGTAGCTTCAGTGGGATTCGAACTCCCGCTTGAACGTCGCGTACGCTTTTAACCAGGACATGCTCTACGAGGTTAGCTGTGAGAATACTAACAGTGCTGATCTTTTCACATTTGGATTACCCACCCAATTTACAACGGCATATGTAACCGATGGGTTCTGAAGGGAAGGGAGACTATCTACAATTTTGCATGACAATGGAGGCGACGATGTCTGCACTGTATCTGCCCACACAATTCAGGTTTCAGCATCCTGAGTGCGTTCACTTCTGCTACAATGAGAAATCTCGTCCACAATTCTTCAGTTCTTTTCAAAAGTGTCGCTAGGATAATTTTAAATGCATTACTCGGGTGAATCCCACCTCCAATGTTGCAAGTTTGAACTGTCAATACGGTTCCGTATACCTTTGCGAATGGGGGTTAATGTTGGGGTAATGATTTGTTCAAGTGCCCCATCGTCGAATGAACGATGATGTAATAGAAGGGCATGTGTTGCAAATCTAGGTTGTTTGGGGCAATAAATACATTTTCAGAGTTTGGTTTCATTCTGATGCAAACATCAATTAACCAACAGCTCCTCTGTTAAAGAAATAAACACATGTAATGCAGGAATACCGACGTCTGAGCGGATACAGATAAAAACTAACTGACGATACACAGATTCAAAAACGGAATTTGTTAAAGGTACAAACAGCCAAGAACAAGTAAAACTTCAATACGGTCGCTTTCAATTCCGGATGAACTACTGATAAAAGCCGTCGGGAAAAGTTTCCTTCCGCCTATGTGCGGATCATACCTATAACGGGACCGTTTATAAGTCAACAGATCGAAGACAGTCTACCTCATTAGTCCCCGGGTTTTTTTTAGTTTGTACACAAATAACCCCTGCAGTTAAAAAGTGAAAGCGATCTTAGATGTATGTTGCAGAAAAAATTACGATAATAATCAATCGTGTTATTATACTAGCTAAGCTTCAACTGGACGATGAACTAAATGCTTGCACTTACTTCATTTTATATGCTTGCACGAGCCTCTGCTGCTATAAGATCAAATAACCCATGCTTAATCATAGAATGAAAATATATAAAGTGTGTTAACCCCCTCTGTACCCATTCGCACTTAAACTTTTATTCAAGTGTCTTCAGTCCATTTACTGTCTAAAATGTGTCCTGATGGTTTATTGAGTGGCACTTCTTACTACAGCTTCTGCTTACTTCCATAGGCAGTTGCTCTATTCATCCGATCAAAGAATTGGTAGCCTGTTTGGGTTGATATGGTTAGTTTCCAAACAAAGCTTATCCACAACCGCTTAGCGAATGAATTATTGACGAGTTCAAGCGAATAGTAACCTACTCAATCTTGTGCACAGAACCGTGACGTCAATGCATCTATGATATCTAAGACAAACCATATTCAACAGATGATATCCAAAAGAGCTTTGAGGAATGACGGGATTCTCAATTGCTGTGCCTGGATACATTGATTGCATGATTGCATGTCAGATCATGTTCGAATATAGGTGAGGCAAACTACTACGCACGAGTAACTGCAAGTTAAATGTGAATAAAAATCTAATCTAGTTGGTTTGGCTTTAGTAAGATTTCTCGAAAATGAGTGGAAGTCCTGATTGGATGTGAAGCTTTTCAATGTAGTGCACAGTCAACTGTGTGTAGCCTCATTGCTATCGGGTTATAATGAACTGGTTGACTATCATTAAGTACGACATCTGAACAAATTTGAATTTATAAACAATCAATCTGAGCTGATTGGCAAGCACACGTCTTCCATTAGATCGATCTCTAGTTCGAAACCCGGACGGCATGGTAGATGTACGCAACTGGTGAGCGATAACGAGAGCGAGTAGCTAGAGTCGGTAGATGGTTTCTGGGAATTTATCAAAGTTGGTCTGTGTACATTCTTCATGCATAGACGCCTTTAATCGTTCATCCGGATGTCCTGTTCTCAACGCTCCATAAATATAATTTCGCACCCCACCCACCCCCTCACCCCCTCATTGAAGACCAGCACACCAAGACAAAGAGCCCAGCTACTTCATGAAGCGGTACGCAAACATCAAGACTATACGAGAGAATTGACCGATGGAAAAGCATTTGATCGTCATTTACTTGGTTTGCGTCTCTTGGCAAATTCATTGCGATCGTCACGTCCGGAATTGTATGAGCGCGCACAAATCCTCTTCACTGATTTCACTTACTTGACTGCAAATCACTACCGATTGTCAACAAGTCAGGTGAGTGTCTGTTTCCCGCTCGCGTGTTCTCGACTCCTTGATTGTGTTCTGGTTCAGGGTGATTGTAGCTTGCTTAAAGTCACGCTTACTCTCCGACGACTATTAGTAGTTACCAATCGTAAACAAAAGGACCGGTATTTTTTAATGTCCACTGCTCAGTTATAGTGGCTGGCAGTCTTAGCCATGGTAACCTGGAGTAACGAGCTACACAATGCCCAAATAGTATAGGAAAACTATTTAGCCGGGCGTAAGTGGAGCCACTCACGTCAACTTTAGGTGGCCGCAGCAGGGTTCAACGTTTGGACTCAGAGCACATCAGTTGGAAACAATTGAACCAGTTAATCACTACTACCACCACCACCACTACCACCACCATCGTCATCATTATCACTAACATGATTAGCTCTTTCGTGCCCAGGTCAGTTAACCCATGCTTTAGGTAATGGTTCACAAGATTGTCTGTAATTGGCATTAGACTGAATGCCGTTCAGTTCAATTGATATAGCTCATTCGTATCCATTGTTAACCCCACATTGCTGCTTGGAGTTACCACCAGCATGGAGAATTCACCAGGTCTCTGAGTGCGGTGGACAATTGAATATGGTCCAAAAGGAAGAATACATACATACAGAAGGCTTTACTGTTTCCTCCCTAGATCTGTTTTAGTTAGCTGATTATGCATTGGTGGTCCATAAAGTCGGCTGAGTTCATTGCGATTGTTGGATGAGGTCGTCAATTTGGCGGTCAGATGTTCGAAATCCCTCTTCGTAACCACTTGTCTTCCCTCCCCACTTTCTAATAGCTTGTTACCCTCAGTGCTGAAAATGCATGTCGAGATGATATATTCAGTAGAAAAGCAGCAATGATTCAGAATGCAGTGTACATTGTTTTTTTCTAGATTTTTTGATCTTATAGGATGTTTAAAGGATGGAAGACAGTTTTTCTCTATTAAAGATCATCTTTATCCTCTTAATAGCGCATCACATCACGTTCACAAAACATCCCCATATTGAACTACTTCGCTTTCAGACTCGATCCAAGGCGGATTTGGCCGCTGTGTTCGGTCCAGTTGTTCCTAATGGCTATGGGGTTTGCTACAACATTCATCCGGATTTCATTCAGTTAACTGCCACCGCTTTCCGAACGTCTTCCGAGACCCGAGAACCGCGGGAACTTCTCGAGCACTTGTTCACTGCGCTCAACGATATGATGACCTTGGTCACACAAAATGCCTGATAGTTCCATTCCGTGAAACACGCGAGCTGAGGCCACCACATTCGACATGATTCAATAGCCCGTATCCAGGATTGAATAACTATGTTCATTTATGTGTATATATGCATGAACATATCTATACATATATTTTTCTTTTTCACTTGGTTAATCGCTTACAACATCTCATTTTGAAATTTATTTCTCACATGATTATGTTCTTTGTTCAGTTTGGCTTCGCCTAAATACACAATCTGACCGTTCACATTCGGGGTATTGTGCCACACTATACGTTTCATGACTCACAAAATTCCTTCCCACAATTCAACTCACAAATGTCAAGTAAACAAATTGTGATACCCCCCCCCCTTCCACCCTCGATTTTCCGACCGGATTTGATTGCGATTGTACTCACACCACCTGAATGGTATGGTTCGTTTACAAACAAGAATACTTTTACCCTCAAAATTGTCTTTTCTGTTGCACTGGGAGGGCTACTAATTTAAAACACAGTTTGGTTTTGAAATATGAAGTGATGGACGTTGATGGCATTAATTCCACCGGTCCATCACTTGTTCAATCGAATACACTTAAATAAATCCATTTGAATAGCTATTTTCGGCAAGTTCATTAAAGTGCATCTCGAAAGTACTGGCTTGGAAGAAGAGCAGTGGACGAGAGAATAGGGTGTAGATGCAGAATCCTCACGCGGACATACGAGCTCACGCTCGTATGACTGAACCCAGAACTGAGAAGCACAATTTGTAGCTTGCAAGAGTAGGGGGAGGACAACGCACCTCAATCATCTGCGTTTGATAATACTGCTTTGCTTTGAAGCTATAAGACAGTGAACTAGAAAGTGCATCCTTGTTTTGTAATGAAAAAGATCTCTTCATGCTTAAGCGAGCAAGTTAGGAAAAGTGAATTTGAACGAACTGTTTGGTGCTTGCCGATCCGCTCGAGAACAAAAGTTCACGCAACGCCGTGCAACTGAATGATTTGCATTGTATCCCAAAAGGTACAAAGAAAAGAATTATATAGCCTGTCCTATGCCCGCGCAAAATTATAAGGGGAAATTCCCTTCAGATCTTGAACAGACTGATCTCGATTGTGATGGATGAAATCGATCGATCCAGTGGAATTCTCGGGTGAATTGCATAATTCAATCACCGATGGGCTAGAGCACATTTTCAATTGCAAAAAGACATTAACGAATTCAGTCAATCTCTCCCTCCGGTTTGGGGGTACTGTAAATAACTTGGAGAGGAACTGATCTATACACGGGAGTATCTACACCGACATGTCAAAGGTTTGTTTCGGAATTCATGGGTCGTATGCAAAGTTGATATGTTATTCCGTTCCTAGTGAAGCGCCAAATGCATGTGCAGTGTGCGCAAGTTATCACGACAATCTGTTCACATGAGCAATTTTTAGGGGCATCTTGGTACGCTTCCGGTGTGTGTGTGTGTGTGTGGGGCGGGGGGAGGGGGCAGAGAAGGAACACATGGAGTACTGAAACATCCAGGCAGTGTACAAAAACATCTAATTGACTGATCCTCACAGATCGAGATGGTTACAATGTACGGCTTCCAATGGAATTCCTCAGAAAGCTCTATTCTGTGAGACGAGGGAGAGTAAAAATGCAAGTGTAGGCGTTTATTTACAACAGAAATCTCTGTGCTGGCCGACCGAAGGCACTGGGTAGTTATTTTGTTCTTCTTGGAACTCGTTAGTTGTGCTTACTTTGATGCTCGGTTAAGACACAAAAATTAACCCATTCATTTTTGTACGAACAATTCAGGTGCCGTACAGTTCTTGATGAGTCCCAGAAACAGCACCTCTTGTGTGAGCTTAAGGACTATTCGAATTTCAATGAAACAGAGCATAAATATTCAAGAGGGTTACTGAAAACCCCACAAAATAGAGCTCAACATCATCAGGATTCATTACCTGTGACAACCAATTACAATGGATCTCAGCTTAAGGTGATGCCGATTCAAACCAATTATGTTGCAGACAGGAACAACAAACCATATTCCAATGCCGGTATCTCTCATTTGATGTCTTCTTCCAGTGTTTATAAGCCCTGGCAATTGGTTTGATGGATAGGCTTTAATTTGCTGTGTGGTTTACACGTTCCTTATGGATAATAATCGGCCCGCAGTCTGAACCACTGCAGTAACAGCACAGTTTTTTATTGGTCCAGATTGATAAGAATAACCAATTTTGCCTATTTACCGAATACATATGCTATAAAGCCCGGCGATTAGTTTGATAAGCCACCGCGGGCAGGGAAGCCGTATCAATAGAAAGACACGAAACCCAATCAGCATATCTGTGGAAAGATCTGAGCAACAAGTGTGGACTCGTTGTTCAGGCGGTAGGGCGAGAAACAAAGCGTCGGGAATAGAAGTTCCGCAAAGCGATTACACTGAGAAATGCGAGGATTGTGCACAAGTAGCACAATTCAACTAGAAGGAGTATTCAGATAAAGCTTTACAGGAACAGAAATAACTTTCATCCGTTCACACGGATCGTCCTTGGACTTAAACTTGGTCTCTATAGGGAAAGCATTGAAACCAGTTACCGACGAACTGTGTTCACAGTCTGACAGACAACTTCCAAGTAGGTAGAACTTATAAATCCGAGCAATGTGAAACAGCACACATGGCTAGCATTAATGCGGTGTCGTTATTTACCAAAATGACGCTGAAAGAGAGTGTGAGGTATATTGGTGACTTTACACAACAGAAGAACATAAGAATTTCAATCCGCTTATCAGAATTGACAAAATTAATTATGATGTGCAGAGAGAACATATGCCAAGTGAACGGTGTAGCCATGGGAAGTCCACTGGGTCCCATTCGGGCATATATATATTCACGAAAAGCCTGTGGCGGAAAATGAACGATAACCTCACGAAAAATATTCTGTACAAACGGTACGTGGACAATGACGATAGTAAACTCAAAGGCGGAAGCGTTGGGTTTATTCCAAAGACTGAATAATACTCTTCGGAATATAAAGTTAACCACGAAACAGGAAGAAAATGATATCTTAATCTTCCCTGGATGTCAAAAGGCAACAGACGACCGACGGAAGCCTTAATCAATCTGCTCATCGAAAATATATGTGGAGGGGTCAATATCTGCACTTCACTAGTTTCGTCTCCATCCGTTACACATGAGGGCTAGTGAGAACACTTTGTGACCGTGCGAGAAACATTCGTATGCCTGTTAACCTCGCAGACGAGTGGTTACTCGATCTCTTTCGTGAAAAAGTATAGCATGTACGTCCGAAGGTAGAGCGACCGACATCCGTGCCGAAGTGCAAGATTGTTCTGCAACTATCGCTCAAGAGTGATGACGTGAATAATTTTTTAGAACTTCACCCAAGCTTGTTCCTCAAACAAACAGTCAATATAGTCGAACCCGTTTTCGTCTGCACATACAACAGAATACCGGTTCCTCCAATCAAGTAACCGCTTTCACAGTATGCCGAATCCCATCAACTTGTCTGCGGGTGCTCGGCCACCTACCCAGGCAGAACCGAGCGGCAGTTTAGAAGAAGAGTAGCCGAACACAGCCCTATGAGAGTTAGTAAACTGGTGAAGGAATAACAGCCGAGCGATGAAGTTCAGAGGTCAACCCAACAGTACACACCAGTGCCGTCGATCGCTCGCCACATTTTAGAGACTAGACATTAAATGCACGTGGCCACAGCATTCAAAAGTGTTTTCATCACGCAAAATTCTCGGTTGCTCCAGTTTGCAGAGATGATTGCTATAAAACGATGGAAGCCTGATTAGGCAAGCAGAAGGGGTTATTTGAAACTGTAACCCTGCCTTAGTAGAAAGATGAATGAATTCAACACCTACAGCTCACCCGCGGTGACCGGTACTTGTGAGTTTTCATTATATTTTCTAACTGTAGTATGGACCTGAAGAGATACAGAGGAAAATTTTCCGGAAATAAATAAATCAACACTGTGCTGTTGTGTTATTTATTCAAATCCCATGGAAAAATTATGAGATTGTCAAAATACAACTGGCAGGGAAAAAAGTTTCGGTAAATATGCATATAAACACAAAGACGCCCACACACAAGATTTGATAATGAATGACGGGTTCAGAAACAAGGTCAGGCAGAGCTGTAGGAAAGTCATGACTGGTCTCAAGGGGATATGACAGCCAAAATAAATGCGTTATACGATCCATGAGTAGGTTCCAAGGTCACCGGACAGAGAGGTAATAAGGAATGTGAACAATACACCGGGGTTTGGAACTGATTAGCCATATATCCGATGTGCGAAATTTCGGCAAAGGTGAATTTCGGTTCTTATCGCCAAAGCTTCGCATCAAAACTTCGAACCAATGCTTTCACATTCTTTATCGTTCTCCCAACGGTTCTGACTGTTCTCGGTGCGATTTTCTTCATCCGAACATTGAGCCTATTTTTCAAATCTAATTCCAAAGCTCAGATGAATAATCTAGGTAGTTTCATCCTTTCATAACAACGGATGATTAGCATACTACAACCATGAGCCTTCCTGTGGAGACATTTTTCATTGTAAATAGCCTATCGCATGGACTTTTGCGCGGACTCGTGTACTAACATACCTCAGACAACTACTCGCAGCCGAAACTCGCTCTTCTCAAATAATGTGTGCAAGACTTCAATTGACCTCCAGTACAACATCCGCTTGTTCACTGTATGCTCTGTTTCGAATGGTTCCTTTGTTTTAGCTCGCCGTTATCACCGATGGCAACTGTCTCAGCAGTGCCAAGTCAATCGGTGCTTACCGCTCCATTCCTCCGAACTCTTTCTGTGGTCGAACAGGCTTCGTTCAACGTAAGAACTCCTATGTATTTGGCTCGTATACTCGAAAGTCTAAAAGTGATGTGTGTTGCTTTTAGGAAATACGCATTCATAATTCGAGCTGATATGATGATTCGAGTGTGATAAACATATCCCTCCATTGCAAAAGAAGCATTTCATCTGAGCCCTTCCAGAAAATCTGTTGCA